GAAACACTGGATTTTATTTTGTATGCCTTTTCAAATAGGCATAATTTTTCAAATAGGCCAAAATCACTCTTTGGCCAATGATAGAGAGTCCAACATCAGGGAAAAATCAGGATCTGTTTTCTTCTCTTTGTTATGTCATTATTTTTGAACAGCTGCCAGGTTTCCCCTTGGTCTTGGGGGGCCTCGAATGTAATATTATTGCATTTCCCCATCTGTTTTAGGAGATGCTGGGATGTACACTGTAAATTAAAGTACAGAAAACCACAATTCTTCTTTTATATGGCATAGGAAAGGTAGAGCTGTGCCTTTAAATCAAACAATTTTCTTACTGCAGGCTTTATTTTTCTGTAGTAGTAAAACATAGCACAGTAGTAATATTAGTAGGAACATTGGTGGGTCTATATTACTTCGTTCCCTCCCTCAGAGGTGGTATAGTATAACGACAGTATAAGCTATAAAATATTAATAACTCACTTCATTTTATATCAAATAGAATGGCATCAGAAGCAGCACTAAACAAGCAGTGGCTTGATTCTGGTCACATGCCTTTTCAAGTGTTTCTAAAAGGATGGAAGGACATAAAATGGAGATAAAATCTCAAGTCTCAAACTTTCTCAAATTTCTGTCTATCCAGTTTCTGGAAAGAAAAACGTGCTCTAAGTCCGCAGCTGGTCACGGCGCAGAGCTGTTGTAGACTAATGAGTTTAGCTTACTGTGATTTTAGCTGATGCACAGAATAAAATACAATTTGGTGTAACAGCTAAGGCATTTAAAGCCTCTCTAATGCTTGGGGAGGCTCTCCCCTTTACCAAAAACAGTCACTCCCCTAATTATTTTTTTTTTACTTTAGTCATTAAATACTTAGTTTTTTACTCTTTTTATTGTATGACTATGCCATAATTTATTCTTTTCTTGATGACACTTAGATTATTTCCTACATTTTGCTACTACAACTGTGTTTGTTGCCACAATTCATGGATAAATTTCTCTTATATGTATACACACAGGCCTGCATATAGGAATATTATATATAGGACTACATAACCATTATATATCTATATATTAAACCATATAAAACTGTCATCGTTGTGGTTTAAGAACAGCTAAATGCCAGCAATTTCAGATGCTTCAAACCTACATACAAGTGAGACCAGTAGGTCACTTCAGGATCCCTGGGTTTTACCAAACTGTTCTCCAAAAATGTTTTTGCAGTTTACATCTTCTTCATCAAGAACACTTTAAAGAAAGTTTTGTTCTACAGTCTCCTCTACAAAATGATTACTCATCTCCCACCAAGGAATTGTCTCTTCCTGTATGTTGCAAAACAAGCCTCTTTCTTCTCTCTGTTTGCGTCTCTGTGATTAGCCTTCTAAATCCATCACTTCCTTTGCACAGTATACTTGGCAATTATAGACTTCTGCTTCTCGGGAACATTTTAATATCATAAAACTTATTTAAAGGAAACAAAGGAAGCATATCTGTACAATGGAGGAGGTGCCTGCTGTGAGAATCATCAACAAACCAGATCAGTCACAAACTCTAAAACCCAGACCTAAGAATTCAGAAAAAGATGGTCAGGAAGACTCTATCCAAGTACCTTTGCCTGTGCCATTCCTTCAGCCATGAAGAATACCCTCAACTCATTTAAATAACCAGAGTCCCCCTTCTGAAAGCTTAAATCAAACAGTTCTCCTTGTCTTTTTTATGCCTCCAGCCAGACTTAATCTCTGCTTCCTCTCTGCCATCCTAGCAACTGTACCTGTGCTACATTTCTGTGTGTGCAACTGTGGCTAGATATGGGGTGTACAGATAAGAAGGGAATTAACATTAAGCCTAGAGTCCTTAAGGGTACTGATTGCTTTCATCAGTCAGACATCATTTTCTTCAGGAAGCTACTCCCCTCAGACGTGTGAGCTTGTTATTCTGCTTTTACTTCTCCAGGCACCTGAGTTCTTGTCTGCTGTTGCATGTAAACTTCTCTCAGTAAAATGCCTGTTCTCACAATGGCTTTCTTAGTCCCTCTGGTTCCTATTCATCTTTACACCTGGCACTGGGCACCCTCATACTCCATAGATAAGTATGAAGTGTGTGTCTCTTCATTTTTCTCCTTAAACATTGTCTTCATATCATGAGGTAACCACAATTCTAGCTGTCGGAGTTTTAGCAATGACCAAAGTAGACAAATCCTTAACCTCACTGAATTTCCAGTCTGGATGGAGGAGACAGCCAACAAACAAACTGATAAACTACAAGGTGTCAGATCATAAAGAGTGTTACATGAATGAACCATTTAGTTTCTGGTATATTAAGTAAATGGATGAATGAACCATTTAGTTTCTGCTTCAGTGTTTCTCTACAGATTATAAATTGCTTAAGAGCAGAGTGGGGCCATCTTGTTCATTTCTGAGTCACATGCACTTAGACAAGTGCCCACTATCTAAACTGCTAACTGACAAAATTAATAAATGAAGAAATCTCAAATAGTCCTTTACACATATGAGGGTAAACAAAAGTTTGTTTACAGATCCTAGATCTGTTGGCAATCCCAATCCAGGTGGGGACAGTCTAGTTATCCCAAACTTTATCTCAACAGGTGTTTTCTCTGAATCTACCTCAGGGGTTCTAAACCACTGTGCCACCTGTCTATCCCCAATTATTTTCCATGTGAAAATTTTGTTCTGAATATACATATCATTACCTCAATTCTTTAAATAAAACTTTGGACATGCCATGTGCAACACAGCAGAGGTAAAACAAACAAACAAAAAGATAGCATGGGTCCAAATAAATATTGTGTCCTTTCTAGAGTATGAAAATATTATAAGTACATTAAAGAGCTGGTTTAAGATTTTTTAAAAAGTGATTCTATTCAAATACAGACACAAGATTTAGAATACACAAGTTCACAGGATATCTGTGATCTGGCCATTGCAGACATCTCTACGGCGATGCACTAACAATATCACTGGTTTTATCACTGTTTGGAAAGTTTTAATCTATGCAAGTGTGATGGCAAAACTATTAGTATATAAAAATGTCACAAGTTCAGAAAATAGTGTAAAGATCTTAAGTTGCTCTATTTTTCAATCAATATTTTCAGAATATTGAGAAGGTAATTTGTAAATGAGAGGATTGCAGCTCATGCAATGTCTTCTCTAGATTCTGTTGAAAGACTGAGCACACCCATTACACACAAGAGACTTACAGCTTCTCAGAGAAAGCAGACTCTCACACCAAATGCAACAGCAAAGAGAAGATATGAAGAATAGAACAGATGTGAGGTGGTGGGGAGCTAACAAGAAATATACTACACAGATCCCTGGACTTGAAAGAGAATAATGATGTAGTAGACCAAAGACCTATCCTTTCTCAGGGCTGGTAAGCTGCATTAAGCAAAATTCTAAGAAATCATCCTTTGCTTTCAAACAAAACAGAAGAAACAATTCCCCATTATTCTTGGCAAGAGACTGCATTAATGAAGTTTGACAATTCATAAAAATCATTCAAAGATCCTGTAATTTTAATTAATGCATTTAATTGGGACAAGACATTAATTTCTCTCAAAAGGCTTAGCTATGTTATGTTTTTCTATTAATGATCAATTGCTAAAGAAATCCCTATGGACAAGAAACATTATGTTCTGTGCTCTAGTGCACAAATAAGATGACAAACGGCGTCAAAGTATACCACAAAGGTTGCTTTATGATGCATCAAACAATGTCTGTTGAGAACCTTTGACTTGTTAATTAAAATGTCAATTAATTCAAAAATTTTCTATGACAGTAGTCAAATAAAGAAATAAGGAAATACTATTTAAAAAGCACAGTTCTGCCATATCACAGCACAATTAAGAAATAATTACATTCTTTAAAATACAGTTAGCATAAATCCATTTCTTAATAGAACACAGGACGCTGTGAAATATATGTAATATATTTAAAATAAAACACTGACTGAACATTGAATTAGGTATTTGGAAGACACGTGTGAGAGGCAGCATTGAACACAGATTCTGGAATTAGCTGTGGTTTAAATTCAATGGCTATAATTACCAGTTCTACAAACATGAGCAAGTTTTTTGTCTTATTTTCTTTTCTTTATAATGGGGATAATAAAAACTACCTCACGGGGCTCAATATGAGGATTAAATAAGTTAATATTTTAAAGCCCTAATGATAATCTCTAGAATACAGCAACTGCTACATATCTGTATGATAAAAATGACTTTATATACGTGTGTTTGTATATGAGTGTGTGTGTGTGTGTTGTATACACATAAATTTTTTAATTTTTTATTCACATTCAAAACTGCTTTGATTCTAGGTTTGAATATCAAAAACTGGAAAAATGCTGCAATTTTCCTGATCACAGATCACAGGGATATTTTTCTCTGAAAAATTCTCATAAATAATCTTCACAACTAAAAGTGGCATAAATAACATATCTCGGTGGTGGTTTAAATATTTTTTGTCAGAAACATTAATAATAGCTCAATGTCAAACATTTATAGAGCTGATTTATGGGTCCCTAGATATTTATAAACCAGTTGAATTTTTTTTTAAGATTTAATTTTAAAATTTTAAATTTTAAATTTAAGATTTAAGAGAGAGGACACGTACGTGCACGCGCATGAGTGGGAAGAGAAGTGGAGGGAGAGAATCTTCAAGCAGACTCCACCCCTGACCACAGAGACTGACCCGTGGCTCAGTCTCACAACCCATGAGATCATGACCTGAGCTAAAACCAAGAGTCAGACACTTTACTGACTGGGCCAACCAGGCACCCAAACTAGTTGAATATTTGTAAAGAAAAATCACGTCAGTATTTCTTTTGTAATGAAGTAGTAGATTAGAAGACAAGAAGACGACTTTGGAATTAAACTAAGATTTGAGTATTGTACCAGCCTTATATTAATTCTGTAACTTTGGAAAATTTATTTTGTTCTCAGAGTTTTAATTTCCTCATCTTCAAAATAGGAATAATGATTGTTCCAACTTCACAGTATTTTTCTTAAGATGAAATGAGGTTTATTCAAGTATAGTGTTCAATCTCAGAGCCTAAAACAATGTATATACTCAACAAATGTTAGCTGACAGTATTAATTTTTATAGTCAACTCCTCTCAAATCAGTTTTAAGGTGCCTCTTCAGTAGGTTAGAGAAGTTAATCAGTCCTAACTTATCAGGAGGTCCCAAGTAAAGTTACTGTTAAGAAAGCTTTAGACATCAGAAAATATCTCCTTATTTTTTTGTTGTTCTTAAGAAACCATTGCTATTAATACAAAGCTGTCATATAAACATCTAAGGAGAAAATTTTATTTACATATATTTTCCCAACTTAAATTATATTTCTCATCTTACATAACCACTTCTCTCATTTAGAAGGCAATTTTGTCCTTAAAATGACATTTGCTAGGGTTATATTATGAAGATCACCACTTACAAATCTTTACATACAAATGATTTTCCCATTTCTTTTCTTAGACTTATATTGTCTCAGTAAATTTTATCAGTCATATAGATAATGTGTTTTGTTAATTACTCATAAAACCATAGGATGCATAAGAATATGGAATGTTCATCAATGAGATAAATGCAGAAAACTTAAAAGACAATTCCAAAATGGAATAAAAAAGCAACAACTATGCCAATGTTTCACACCATGAGTTTCATGTTTTACATATTAAAATGTCTTTTTGTGTTCTTAAATATGCAAAAATTGTCACTGGTTAAAAGTGAACAAGCTGCAAAGAAAAGAGCATTTCTTCTTTCAACATTTTTTGTAAACATCTTCATTACACTAGTTGTGGTCCCAAGTCAAGATTACTTTACAGATTGGTCCCCTTGCAGTAATCTTCATGGTATGAAAGCCATTATATAAAAGCAAGTAGCATTTAATCACAGATATTCCATAAATGCTATTTATAATTTAATTAATTAATTAATCAATCAAATCACCAAAATAGAAATGCTTGCAATTAATGCTGGAGAGGACGTTATATAGATAAGGATGATGAAGTCTGAAAGTGGAACTGCAGGTTATGAAAACAGCCACTGCTTACTGAGGACTTGCTCTGAACCAATCACCAGTTCAGCTCTTCAACAGCATATATCATTTGAAAACTCTCAAAAACTCAAGTGATTCTTGTAAAATAAGCTGAATTAAAAGATTTGCCAAGGTGGCTGGAAACAAGATTAAAATACACACGAAGAAAGGAACAAATGGAAGTAAGAAAAAAAATACTCCATTCACATAAACAACAAATCTATTAAACACCTAGAAATAAATTTAATGAGACAGACAGGGATTATATGAGGAAAACATCAAAATAATTTAGAAGGATTTAAAGCAAGATTTTAACAACTAGAAATTCATTTCATGTTCTAGGATGGGATTTATCATGAAAATGTTGCCATCTTCAAAATAAATAAATTTGACATGATTCCAACTAGCACTCCAATAATACTGTTTTTCAAATGAAATAAATTGAGCACATTTTACCTTACCTAAGCATATCCTTACCCAAAAGAAATACGGAGCAAACATAAATAGTTTTCTTGTAAATTCTTTCATGAACAAAATAATGGTGGGTATACATTTGAAGTATTTTTTGACCCAACTTCATACAAGAAGAACTACCTAGCATTTTAAAAAATAAATGCTCAATGCTAACAATAATTCATAATTTCCAACCCCAATAATAACATAAGATGTGATTCTGGGATGCAAACTCGTTTATCTACTTTCTCCTTTAGATTTTTTAAAGCAAATTATTTAATATTTGGAAAGTGCTTTGAATCTTTTAGGTTTAAGTTCTATCATAGTGTCAAGAATAATACAGTTTCCTTTGGTGAATATTTTTACGAACTTCAAGAGAAATATCAATTTTTAAAGAAAAAATTACTTATTTTGATTTATTCATTAAGAACAACTCTTGATATGTTAGGTATACTATGGCTTTAACAATAACTAGTAAGAAAAAATGTTTGTCTAATTCTTATAATGGGAACAGATTCTTTAGAACCCTTTTTTTTTTCTGCTTAAATAAAAAATTAGTGAGGGGTGCCTAAGTGGCTCAGTTGGTTAAGCATCTGACTCTTGATTTTTGGCTCAGGTCATGATCTCAGAGTTGAGAGCTTAAGCCTTGCATCGGGCTCTGGGCTGGGCATAAAGCTTCCTTGGGATTCTCTCTCTCTTCCCACCCCTCTCTCTAAAAAATAATAGTGATAATAATAAATCAAAAAATAAAAACAGTAAAATAGTTTCAGGTTCATAAAAGTACTACAGCTGCTGTCTAGACTTAAAATACTAAATAGATAACAGTGAAACACAACCTTTAGGAATACAGTAAGGTAATACAGGTACAAATTTAACATGCTGCCTATAGCATATTATAAGAAATCAATACAATTCACCTAATAACTATGTTGATTCTGATAGAAACATTTTTTTCACTTCTCTCTGAATACAAATCTCTAAATCAAAATGAGAATTATCTAGAAAAGTAATTTTGTTCAAATTAGTATCATTACGTGAAAGATAAGACAAGTTGCAACGACAGCTAACATTCCTGGGTGCTGAGTAAGTGGAATGCTAAATGTTAGTAAAAATTTTAAATTATGGAATATGTATGCTTTGCATTTTTCAAGATATATTCAATATACTATTATCCAAAAACTTTTATATGTGACTTATTTTAATTTATATGTGCTTTATTAAAATAAAGTATAAAGTAAGGCACATATGAACATATATAGCTTACAAAAAACCCCATGTATAGCTTACATACAAAACTTTATAGAATAGGGGGAAACCTGATATATTGCTCTTAAAAGCCTCTTCATTACTGGTAGTATAAAGGATGGACTTTAGCGGTGCCTGGGTGGCTCAGTGCGTTAAAGCCTCTGCCTTCTGCGCAGGTCATGATCCCAGGACCTGGGATCGAGCCCCACATCGGGCTCTCTGCTCAGCAGGGACCCTGCTTCCTCCCCTCTCTCTGCCTACTTGTCATCTGTCTGTCAAATAAATAAATAAAATCTTTAAAAGAAAAAAAAAAAAAGGATGGACTTTAGAGTATTTTCTTTGAAATAGCCAGTAAAGATAATAGAGATAAGAATAAACATTTGACAATGATATATATAAAGACATGGAAAATGTAAATTTACTTTTTTTTTTTTTAACAAAGAACATCAAAAGATCACAACCCTTTTGAAAAAAAAAAAAACCATAAATGTTACCATTCTTATTTTAGTTAGATAAATGGACTAATATTATGGTAAAACTCCAAGGTGTGTCTCTCGGTGGAACAATTTTTTTTAACTCCCAACCTAATCTCAATCCTTCCACCAAGCTCCAGATCATGGCTTCAAGGACAGACGACAGATCATAATTGTGTTCTCTTCTACATTCCATTCAGTACCCAGCCAATGACTAGAGATATGGAGGGTATAATGATTTTTGGGGTCCCTGCAATATGCCAGGTTATTTAGGCAAACATGAAGTTTTAGTGGTTTAGGAGAAAGGAATAGGCCCTGATATACAATCACTGGCCCTGTGACATCAGATACCTTACTTGATCTTTCTGTGCCTCCGTGTCTCTCTCTCCCATCTAGTAAGCTGACTATATGAAATTACTTTCTTTAAGGCCAAAAATTATCAATGCTGAGGTTCCACCAAATAGAAGAGGGAAATTGATGGCTCTTAACACATAATTGTTGCACTTTGATATAATCACATACAGGGTAATAAAGGCTAAGAAACTATTCAGTGTCAATGTTATTACCATCCTCATAATGAGGGGAGTTGGTGTTTCCAGGCTCAGACTTAGCATAATGGTTTCAGAATTCGAACTTAGATTTTGGACTCCAAAGTCTTTGCTGTTTCTTCTACACCATACTGTCAGCCACAGAGTCTGAGACTGCTGAAAATATCTAAGTGCTTTCTCTTTAGGAAAATTAACGTAATGCAAATCCTGCTTTCCAGGGACATTTAATAAATTAAAGCAACACATATTTAATTGCTATGAAATGGCCTTTGTTTCTTTCTTTACCCCACCCGCCCCATGATGGATTAGTTCCCTGGAGTAGCTATTTGCCAAATGGTACCCTGGTGTCCTGAAAGAGTTAAGGCAGCTTGTATATTTGCATAATTTACAACCAGGGAGTAGCTGGGGAGTAGGAGAATCTGGTTCAGTAGGCCATTTGAAAATTCATTAAAATTCATTCACTCCTTATGCTTTTTCTGGTTATGACCAGACCTGAAAACATTAAAAAATGTGTTTCCAAAAGTAAAGCAGAAAATAACATAAAACCAATATGCTTATGTCCGTAACTGTAAACTTTTAAATCACCCCGTTGTTTGGGGGCCTTTTCCTTAAACACAGAAACTTATTCATATATTCACATTAGGCAGTTAATTGAACAGAATAGAAGTTGCTATGGAAACAGTGTGGTATGCCCTAGTACTTAGTGAGGAAATGAACAGTACTAATTATCACCAAATGTATGATATTTCTGCTTTTGTACTCTATAGTTTTTAATGTACAATCTGTTTAATGAGCAGCAAGTTGTTCACCCAGCATGCAGAAAGTGAATGAAGCCTAAAAATAGATGATTAAATCATCAGGTGTGAATAATCTGTAAATTTTATTGAAATAAAGCAGTGAAAGACTTATCTTCCTCTCATTTATCTTAGCATGAATGGTAGGCTTATTGAAGCCTAAAACCTTAAATACAAGCAGTTAAGACAATAGAAAAATGCTGCTAGAGGAAAAAAAAATTTAGTTTTTCCCTCACTTTATTAAGATATTTCACACTCAAAAGACAAGTATTATGTGCTTACTATGAGCCAGGTACTGGGGAGGAATGGAGGCCTGGTCTGAAGGCACATGGTTTTACTGCTGCAAAACCAATTCTGTTAAGTTCCATAAAAGAGAGAAAAAAACGTGCTACTGGGAACATAGAAGATAAACATTAGATCTAGACTCGGAGACTGAAGGAAGCTGTTTTCAGCTGGCATCTTTGAAGCATGGTGAAACCCCCAGCTGACTAAGGTGCTCACAGCTGCCAGAAGTAATGACTCGTTCATCATCAGGCTCTGAACTCCCCAATAAGATGGTACAGATACTGAATTAACAGGTTCCTTCACCATGAGTGACAAGAATGGGGAACTGGACTGGCCTGCTGTTCAGATGCCAACTTCAAAGAGTATTTAAAAGAGAAGCTAG